TTAAACCCTTATCAACAAATTACTTATCAAGATTAATCCAATATATGTTTCAAATATAACTCTCAATTATAAGAATGAATTTATAGTTATTTAATTTGTAAAATATATGATAATTTCAACAAAAGGCTGTGTGAAAAAATCATAATCGATTTATTATGAATCGATTTTTTTGTTACCGTTGAAAATATCAGAACAAATTCATAGAGTCATTCGATCGATGGTGGCGAGAGGCCCAATGTGATGATTATTTTAAAATAATCGTACATCCTTTTGTCTTCTCTGCTGATTTTGTTTTGACTTTAATTTCTTTCATTTTTCCGTTCAATCGCTATACATGATATATCATATATTTTTTCTATACTAACATAATAAGGTGTATAAAAATAGACTCATAAAAATTTAGAGGTGTTGTGTCATCGCCCAAGCTACTCCACCCATTGCCAGTTTGGCACGATTTGAGTTTGATTAAAATGCTTTGATTGGAAAATATCTCACAATAACTAGGGAAGAAGTTTTTCAAAATGAAAAAAAAAAAAAAACATGTTATACATGCTCTAAGTAATTAATTTGTGTGAACAATTAAGACTTATAGTGTTGTAGGTTTCGCTTAAAAGCAAGTAAATATTCATAATCTCTTGTTTAATGGTTTGCATTCGGCCAAAAAGAAATGTATATGATGATTCAACGTTTCGAGAGGGCAAGAAAAATGAACCATCCTATTTTGATAACTTACTTTACATATGGTGTTTGCATTCTCTTCCTTATGATGTTTATATTGGTTGAGGATAATTTAGATTTTAGACAAAACTACATTTTATTTTTAAATAAACGAAAATTTTGTTTCTACAAAACGAAAATTATGCCATGAACAACATTTCTCCCAAGGTTTATTACACCTTAAATCCAACTCCCTAGTAGAAATCTGAAAAAAAAAAACACACACTGACACACACGATATTTTCCAACTTTTATGCTGAGTTTGTTCGTAATCACATCACCACATCCTTGGATCCCTCCATATAAATGACATTATTAACACGAGGCATAAATTGTTATCTTAAGAAATTATTTTCAAAAATTATGAAACTTCAAAATAACATGATGACGCCAAAACTAAATATTCATATATGTTTAACTAGTTTGGAAGCAGAGTTTAGAAACTTGGCCAAGTTCCGTTGAAATGCTATATTTTTTTTTCATAACGGTTGAAATATAGCATTCCAACATTTGATGACACGACAAGAACCGGTAGGAACCGGGAACCGGTAGAACCGCCGGGCCGGTTTGGTTATTGATTTTGGCCGAAGCCGGTTCCTGGGTCGGGTCCGGTTCCGGCCGGTTCGGTCCTTTTGCTCATCCCTAGCCACAATGGCTGAATAGTGCCAGGATTTGAACATGGATCAATAGGTTATCCACCATATCTTCCACATGCCTTACCAAGTCACTGCAGGCGAACCTCTATTTCTTGTAGTGTCCCATGTGGGGAATTTTCCCTGGAAATCCCCATGGGGGATGAGTTTGCTCTTTAAATGAGCTCGAACCCTGGGTGCTCGCTTAAATATTGCGAGTAGGCTTCCGCTTAATTTGTTTGTCGTTTCTAAAAAAATCAACATATATACCTCAAATTACTTATATTCATGATTCTATTAAGCACCATCTTCCACGTTAAGACATTAATCTTAATTGGAACAAATCTATTCCAACGAGTTTGAATACCTCCACCCCCAAAGTAACATTATTGATAAAATGTCTCATGAAAGCAACTATAAAAGTATCAATAGGGCTTAATTTCCAGAACCACGTGTCCCGATTTGAGCTCAACAAAGAACCTGGCAAGCATCCCAACAAAATTGTTAGTAGGTCAACTTCAGCATCACTAGCATCACCACACATAGACCTTCTTCACTCCCACTCCCACACATTATTACACCATCTATCCGTAATAAGAAAATAATTCATCCATGAATTTCAAATCCCCAATCTAATAGTCTTGTCAATACCTAGTAGACGACCCATCGCCAACTTTCTTTTGTGGAGTATTCAACGGGGCAATATCTTTATTAACGAGACATTGCACGAAAATGACAATGGTATACCAAAGACCTCACGTCTTCGGCTTTTTCAGGCCAGCCCCCGACACACATAATTTCCATGAATGTTTTTAATAACTAAGTTTATTTCGGTATGGAACCTCCAACACTACTTTTGAAGGAGCGTATAGTTAAAAGCAAAAAGATCTAATATCGAGACCATTTTTCTCTTTCAAACTCATGACTTCATCTCACTTAAACCACATGGTTTTTCTTTCTTTAAATCAACTCCCTATAAAAACACGACCTGATCGATTCCAAATACCTACAAACAACCTCAGGGGACTTTTTTAAGATCAAATATTTTATTAAACTAGAAAAAAGATAGACAAAACAAAATATTACTAAATAAACTTTAATTATTAAAGGTACCCCGCCCATTTTTCGCCTTACTATTAATAACTAGCAATAGCAAAAAAAATATAGAATTTAAAAATTAAAGTGATAGACCCGTTTGATATACATCTTTTCAGTTCTAAAAAGATCTTTCTGACTGAATGGTTCGAATAGACTGTTTAATTTGTACAAAAAATTGTCTTTCCAAGTAAGATATATATTTCCCACAAATTCCCAAAACCATAACTTTCTGGCTGAATAGGTCGGAAAGACAATTGTACCCCAAACCTTGCCTCTTTCTTTCATCTTTTCGACGCTTTTCATCAGACATCATCGCCTCCTCGCCAAGCTCCCTACTTCATCCGTTTCATCTTATTTTTTTTCTTCTAAATTTCAAGCATATGATTTAGGAGGACCATTACATATATAAAGTTTCAAATCAGAAATTTTAATTTTAACATACATTTTGTGTAATTTTGATTTTGTATGACAATTACTATACTTTTATATTTATTCAGCAACTTCATCGATCACAGTATAGAACAACAGTGTAATATGATCATTTTTCATCATTCAACATAGTCAGTCAAATGTATAATCAAACAACATTATTTATTTCCTTATCAGTAAACTTTCTCATCCAACACTTTCCTATACATTAACTATCAAACGGACCATAAGTATCTCGGTTATTTTTTCGTTTCGACTATCTCTGTGTTTTTTCGACTATTCATTTGTTATTTTTTCGTTTGAACTATCATTGTGTTATTTTTTTTTCATTTAGACTATCCATGTGGTATTTTTTCGTTTAGACTATCATTGTGTTATTTTTTAGTCTGAACTTATCGGTGTTACAATTTTGTTGCGATTTTTGTAGCCGTTAAATAAAACACATACACACAAACATACATATAATTGTTCGTTAATTTTTTTTAAAGAAAAACAAAAAAATAACACACTGTTAGTCCAAATGAAAAAAATAATACATTGCTAGTCCGAACAAAAAAATAATATAGGGATAAACAGGACGAGAAAATAAGAAAGAGAGAGCTCGAACAAAAAAAAAATAACGCAGAGAAATTTAGAACAAAGAATAATATAGGGATAATCCGACCGAAAAAATAACACAATGATTGTCCGAACGAAAAAATACCCCAATAATAGTTCGGACGAAAAAATAGCACATGGACAGTCTGGATAAAAAGTAACACAGATAGGCTGAACAAAAAAACATATAGATAGTCAGCACGAAAAAAATAACACCTGAATAGTCAAAACGATACACATGAATAGTCATAATGTTTTTTTTATCGAACAATATGTAGGATACTATCGTTCACAAAAATAAATATACAACTATATATAAACAATGTTTTCTAAAACACAAATAACCAAAAACAAAATGTCATAATAACAATAATAATAATAACTAGAAAGGTTACCCCCGCTACGCGGGGGCCAGAAGTTTTCAATGTTGTTTCCGAATTGATAAATATGACAGACATAGAAAGTGCAAGGATGAAAAGTCCGGGCTTTGCCCCGGACAAAAAATGTAAAAGTTTTGACTGCAAGGACCAGAAGTGTGAAAATGGCTAAAGAATTAATGGGGTAGGAATTAGCAACTTTTTAGAAAAGGGATCAAAGTTGTCAAACCGTTAAAGTTTTGTGGCCAAACTTTAAATATTAAAAGGTTCCAAAAAAAGTGTAAAAATATTGATTGCAAGGACCAAAAGTGTCAAAATGGGTAAAGAATAATGACCAAAGTTGCCAAAAAACATCCAAATTTAGTATTCCTAACTTCCAACAATAATACAGAGACCAATTCTGCCAAAAAAAATGGGAAGTTGAATGGAACACAAACAAAAGGACATGAATAAATTAATTAAAGAAGTATAGGGACCGAATATGTAAATCAAGGGACCAAACTTGGACAAAGTATCCCAAGTTTACTATTCCTTTCTTCCACAACTTTAATATATATATAATAATAATAATAAAACAAAAGACAAAACAACCAAAACAAAAAATAAAAAAATGAAAAAAAAATCAAATAAAAAAAGATTATTTAAATCAAATTAGGAGGAATTTAATGTTAAATTTGATTTGGGAAATTCTATACGTACCTCCAAATTGTTTTGTGTACCCTTTAAATTGCTTTGTGTACCCCCATTTAAATGTAATAATACTTGTTTACCTCTTATAATATGACGATTTATGTGAGTGAACGGATATATAAATGTGAAATCAAAGGATATGCAAAACAACAAACAGAAAAACACTTTCACCCTTATTGTATCGGTTTCGCTATAATGTTTGATAAATTTTCCATTGAACCTATCCAACTTCAACAATTTATCTTTTCAAATTTGAGAATAATGATAACTTTTTTTAACATTTTTATTTTTATTTTTTAAGATAGTAATTCTTTTGGGCTTTTTTTTAAATAATTATAAATTTTTGTTAAGGCAATATTTTTGCATTATTTTCATTTTTATGTTAAAATTAAAAAAAGAAAAAAACCATAATTTGAATATTTCTTATTCTCGGGAATTGAAATAATTACTTGTGGTAAGAATGTGCCAACATGGCAACATAGGATTTTCCACATTGAACAAAATTTTCACATTTTTGTGTATATCCTGTGTTTGTGGAATTGTGGCCAAAGGTACCATAAACTCAATGTTACAGACCATAAGGAGTATCATCCCATGAATTCTTTCGATATATGTTAGCATAAAAGCCCCATATTTAATTACCCAGTAAGACTAGGATAATAAATAATGTAGTCATATATGTAAGAATTTTAACTGAATGGTATAGTCACAAATATACGCATGCCAACCGAATACATGAGATGAGTATTGTACTCCACTTCTTAGTAACTTATTGTAACACCTACATAATCAAGTGTAAGACAAGGGGATGAGTCTTGAAAAACTACTTATGGATTATCTTAGAAGTAAAAGAATAACTTCTAGAATGGAGGACATATTCCTTCTTTGCTTCAACCTCGATCGGTTTATTGAACCTGCAACACCCCTCTCTTTCTCTATTGCTCTCTTCCCGCCGATCCCTCTCCTCCTCCTTGTTCAAACCCGGTCAACTCCACCCCGCTATGATTCCGTCCTCCCTAAGTGGATTAAAATTGTAATGATGCCGAAAAATATGAAGTACCTTCGTATTATAAACTAAAAGGCAAAGTATCATAGTGTAATCGTGAAAGGGAACATAAGAGTGTTGTAACATCTAAAAGTTATACATTTTAGTTTAAATTACAAAATGCCACCTGAGCATAAAAAAAAACATGTAAACATATTATTATAAACAGGTTAAAATAATTAAATTTAAAAAATTGTTATTGCGAGAACAAATTAATCATTCTTAAAAAATAAAAGTATACAAGCGAATATTACAATTAACAATAATTTCTAATTTCTAATTTTAATTTCCAACAACTTTTTCTAACAAAAAAGATATTGACTAACAAAAATAAATAAACGTGGTTATTATGGTCATATTAATAAAAAAATGTTAAAATTAATTGGATTTAATAAAAAAAATTAATCACATTGCATGGTAACATACTAAAACAACAATATGGGTCATACCGACATAGCGGTGTGATGGATTTTGTTAAATTATGGTGACTTTATGAATAAAAAAAATATTAATTAAAACAACAATATGGGTTATATCTAAATTACACCTTAAATCCACCTATATCCACAACGAGACTTGAACCCTCAACCTCAAGGAGGGAGGCAACACCGGATACCGCTGGGCTAGAAGCCCTTTGGTGGCTCTTATGTATTACGTCCTTCCTCGACATGTCCAAGTAATTTTTCTCTTACGGTGTCTCATTAAATCCAAAAGTGTGACTAAGACACAATTTTATCATAAAATGCATCTTTTTCTAGGCTTGATCGTATATAAACACCAAAAGTCTTGAAATATTTAAAAAGACCACAACACCGTAAATACGTACGTGCACAAACACAAACAACACTTTGTTCGTTTAAATTAAAACTTAAAAAATAAGTGAACATAAACACACAAACAAACACGTTTTTTTTTCACATTTGTTCATTTAACAACTTACATTGTTCACGTTCATCCGTTAAAATTATAAACGAACCTAAACAAACTTAAAGAACGAGTTCTTTAAATAAAACGATCATAGGTGGACAAATATCAACGATCATATATATATATATATATATATATATATATATATATATATATATATAAAAAGACAAGGTTTTAGTTGAATTTGATTTTATAATTATGTTTAGTTTCTTGAAATAGGAGACGGAGACGGAGGAGATGAAAACCAGGTAAACTAAACGTTTTATATAGACCAAACTATGAAATATTGAAAAATAAAATTATCTTATGAATGATATGAACATAGAATTATTTTATCAAAAGTCAAAACAATGTACGGTTTTTAAGAACTCCTTTTGAAAATAAGCTTCAGAATTTCCAAGTGACATTTTGCTTTTTCTCTTCATGATATTGAGTTATTGACTTGAATTCACAAATATTTTTTGTTTTGTTTATTACAAGACATTTTAAGTATTTAATCTATTAGCAATAAATGTTTATTAACATAAATAGCAGATTGCATGTCAAATTTGTTTATTTAAAACAAAATAAATATTAATAAAAAAAAATCGAGAAATAAGAAAAGACTTTCTCTCTGTTTGTGTGTGTGAGAGAGAAGAGAGTATGAAAAGAGTGAAGAGTCAACGAACCGACCCCTTTTTACTGTGAAACCTTTTCTGATTGTTTTGTATTTGTAAGGCTTCGAAGGCTCCACACACATTATCTCCTTCTTCTTCCTCTCCATCTCTTCTCTCTCTCCAATTTACAAGAAATCTTGTTTTTCTTTAACTTCTCTCTCTTTCTCTCTCAGCTCATGATCCAAAACCCAAAGTCAAGCATGCATATAGCTCTTCCCTCTCCCATTTAGGGTTCCAGCGCATTCCTTATTTTAGAGAGAGAAAGAGAGAGGGAGAACCACAAATCCACCTCAATCCACCAATTACTGTGAGAGAGAGAGAGAGAGTCTTTTTTATTTTCTTATTTTCTACCCATTTCTTCTTTCTATTCATTTTGTGAGTTTGGAAAGAAAACCCGTTTTTGCTCTATCTGTTCGTAGAAAGATTTGTTCGTGTTTTCGATGAATTGTGTAATGAATATTGAAAAAGGGTTTGAAACTTTGAAGTGGGTGTAGGTTTTATTAAATAAAGAAAGGTGGGTTTTTTTTCTTTATCCAAGTGAAGTGAAATTTCATGAGTTTTGGGGGTTTTCTTGATAACAGTCACGCCGGCGACGGTGGAGGAGGTGGTGGTGCTAGAATCGTCGCTGATATTCCTTATAATATGCGCGGTGGCGCTTTGTCTCAGCCTCTCTCCAAGTCCATGTTCTCCTCCCCCGGCCTTTCACTTGCTCTTGTAATCCTCTATCTTTCTTTTTAAAGCACACACACACACATACTTGTGTGTTTTTTTTATTACAGAAAATGGCTGGTGGTGGCGTCGACAGTTGTGGTGTGTGTATGAACTGATCTACTTTATTTCTTTATATTTCAGCAAACAACGATGGAGGGTGGTGGAGGTGGAGGCGGAGGAGGTGGGATTGGTGATATGGGAAGAATGCCAGAAAGCTACGAGATCAGCGGTGGCGGTGGCGGTAGAAGGAGCCGCGATGAGGAGCACGAGAGTAGATCTGGCAGTGATAACATGGATGGTGGCGCCTCGGGTGACGATCCCGATGCCGACGACGGAAAACCACCACGAAAAAAAAGATACCATCGTCACACTCCTCAACAAATCCAAGAACTTGAAGCGTACAATTCAATCGTTTTTTTTTTCTTTTCTAAAACTAGTTCAATCAAAAAGATTAAACCTTTTTTCATGGGGTTTTTCAGATTATTCAAAGAGTGCCCACATCCTGATGAAAAACAACGACTGGAACTTAGCAGAAGATTATGTTTAGAGACTCGACAAGTCAAATTTTGGTTCCAAAATCGTCGTACACAGATGAAAGTAAGAAGAACTGTAAACAACTTCAATCTTTTTTCCGACAATCATCTGAAAAAGACTGACACCTTATGTTTCAAAATTTCTATTTTATGGTTGCCAGACGCAATTGGAGCGTCACGAGAATTCAATTCTTCGACAAGAAAATGATAAGCTTCGAGCAGAAAACATGTCAATTCGAGAAGCAATGAGGAACCCGATGTGCTCAAATTGTGGTGGTCCGGCCATGATAGGTGATATTTCATTAGAAGAACAACACCTCAGAATCGAAAACGCTCGCTTAAAAGACGAACTAGATCGTGTTTGTGCACTCGCCGGAAAATTCCTCGGCCGCCCCGTCTCCTCCATGGCTCCTCCCATGCCAAACTCTAGCTTAGAACTTGGCGTTGGCGGCAACAACCATTTCGGTGGTGGCGGAGTTCTCAGTTCCACCGCCTCAGCGTTACCTCTAGGCCCACCGGATTTTGGCGTCGGAATCTCCACCGCTTCTTCTGTTGTTCCATCTTCAAGAGCAAGTAATAATAACGTAATGGGAATCGATCATTCCCTTGAAAGATCCATGTACCTTGAACTAGCGTTAGCTGCCATGGATGAATTAGTCAAATTAGCTCAAACAGATGAACCACTTTGGCTTCGAATAGAAGGTGGTCGTGAAATCATGAACCCAAATGAGTATTCAAGAGCTATTACTCCTTGTATCGGATTGAAACCAAACGAATACGTCTCCGAAGCTTCACGGGAGACCGGAATGGTAATCATCAATAGCTTGGCTCTCGTTGAAACACTCATGGATTCGGTAATTCCCATTCCATTCCAGCCCGATTCCGATTCCGTTTCCATTTCTGTTATCTTTTACATGTTTCCGACGAACAACTTAACCTAATTTCGTTCCTTTTTAATTAGAACAAATGGGCGGAAATGTTTCCGTGTATGATTGCTAGAACTTCAACTACCGATGTGATTTCAAATGGCATGGGAGGTACAAGAAATGGTGCACTTCAATTGGTAATATTGGGATCAAAATCCCGAAGTTATTAATTTAATTTATTTTATTATATAGTTTTCAATCATTTTATTAATTTAAACATATATTTTTAGATGCATGCGGAGTTACAAGTTCTTTCCCCATTAGTTCCGGTTCGTGAGGTCAATTTTCTTCGATTTTGTAAGCAACATGCAGAAGGGGTGTGGGCGGTGGTTGATGTATCAATCGATACAATCCGGGAAAACTCACCGGCTTTTTCAAGTTGCAGGAGGCTTCCCTCCGGTTGTGTTGTTCAAGATATGCCAAATGGCTACTCTAAGGTAAGCCACTTTTGACTTTAAAAAAGTTCAAGTTTTATATTGGTGAAATTTTATCTTTTAAAGCTTGATGTGTTATGATGTAAGTAAGTTCGTTAAAACTCAATGTGATTCTTGTGCCTTTTTGATATCTTGAACGATTCTTATCGATCTTGAAGTAAAAAGTCGAGTGGTTTGAGTACTAAAAGTCAAGGTTTTAAATGTTCTTTAGCATTTATGGAGTATGTCAAGTAGGTATGCTTGGTGTTGATCTTTAATGAGTTTGTTGGGATATCTCATCACCTAAAACCTTAAAAACTTAGTTCAGAAACTTGAATGCGTACCTAAATGTACTACTTCAAATGCACAATGTACAATTTAATATGCATAATGTGCAAGTTTTTCGCGATATCGGCTTTGTTTATGTGATCTCTTTTAGTTCAGTCACATTGCCGCATTGAAACTTAGTTGAGATACATGAATGCTCAAGTAAAAGTACAACTCTAGATGCACATTGTACAAGTCCTTTCCTGAAGTTATTGTATCTGTGTGCTTTCTTTTCGTAGTGATTAACTAGTACTCGACCTTAAAAAAATTAGTTGAGAAACATGAAGGTCAGAAGGTGTACCCGGATGTACAACTCCACATGCATATAGTACAACTTGTTCCCGTTCCGGAACCTCTTGATTTATGTGACATCTTTTTCGTCTAGTGATTAATCACATAAATGGGCACACTCTCATCGACATGATTCATTTCCAGATGAATTTTAAAACACAAAAGGAACCTTCTCAAATGATATTTTATTCATTATAGATGCTGTTTTGACTTACCAATGCATTGGTACTCCTTAAATCAAGCATACGAAATCCAATTCGATTATTTTATATCGTTTCCTGTGACCATGCATTATAATATGGGATAGAAACATCTAACTACTTGATTTTCTGAGCCTTGAGACACATTTATTAATCAAATCGCCTTGATCCCAATTACTTTTAATAGTTAAAACCCATCGTTTTTATAAAACAATTGTTTTCATGTTTCTATTCCTATTTTTCTGAGTTCTTTTCTGTCTCGTAGTCGAATCCTCTTTGACCATTTTCGTGTCATATTCTCCGTATTCTATTGCATAAATTGTTGTAGAGATTTAAAATATTCGTATTTTCATGCTTACAAGAATTGATAGCAAGGGTTCTATGAATATATTATGTCTCTCATCGAGCCCATTTCCAAGATTTATCTTCTACTATTCATGCAAATTATTTTAGTTTCAAGAATTAATTAATTTATTCATTGAAATACCCTCCAAGTGCGGCTATATGTACTAGATTCCTATATATAAATACATACCCATATAAAGTGTTGTTTTCTTGGTACTTGATGGTGTATTATTTTATACATAAAAATTCATTATTTTTTTTGGTGTTGAAGGTCACTTGGGTGGAACATGCGGAATATGATGAAAGTGCGGTGCATGAGCTTTACAGACCATTGGTTCAAGCCGGAATGGGGTTCGGTGCACAACGGTGGGTTGCCGCCCTCCAACGCCAGTGTGAATGCCTTGCCATTCTCATGTCCTCCGCAGTCTCTACTAGAGATCATACCGGTAAGCTTAGATATAATAAACATGTGAGCCAGCTCAGGGGTTGCTAGAAGAATTAACTTTTTTTGCAGAATCAAGCACACAGTATAACTTACATGCGTATGTACAACTATTTTAATCGTTTTCATGATATGTAGCTATAACTTCAAGTGGGAGGAAGAGCATGTTGAAACTTGCGCAAAGAATGACGGATAATTTTTGTGCGGGGGTTTGTGCGTCCACGGTGTATAAATGGAACAAACTTTGTGCGAATAATGTTGATAAAGATGTTCGGGTCATGACCCGACAAAGTGTGGATGACCCGGGTGAGCCACCCGGGATTGTTTTGAGTGCGGCTACTTCGGTTTGGTTGCCCGTGTCTCCTCAACGGTTATTCGATTTTCTTCGTGATGAACGGTTGAGAAGCGAATGGGATATATTGTCAAACGGTGGGCCCATGCAAGAAATGGCTCATATCGCGAAAGGCCAAGATCATGGCAATTGTGTCTCGCTTCTTCGTGCCAGCGTAATCTTTCTCACACCTATCTCTTGATATAAATGTGTGTCATCCGATATGAATATTGGATGACAGATATATAAATTTACCGATGACTCGTGGATTATGCACAAGTCATCTGATTTTCTAGTCATCCAATATAAACATAGGATGGATAGTGCATATCTAAAGTAATTTGGAAAATCGTAAAAAAGGGTATGTTTGTAGTGAAAATCGGGAAGCTATTATAGTTTGAAAAGTTAATTGTTCGTTTTTGCAAATTGTACTATTTTGACGTCATTGTGGAAGAACGAGGATGGTTTGTTTGGAACCTAGATATGATAGATATGATAAAAAGGTGGTAATATATATAGATGGACAGGGGCGAAATGGTAATTTCACCGTACATAGAAAAAAGTGGGAGGGGTCTGTTTCAGATCTAACGTACAGACTGAACTTTTTATTTTAAAAGGTTTTGTTAGTAATTTTTCATCTGAAAGAAAATCCAGAAAGTCAAAACACACACACACACACCCACACTATGTGCATGTGAGAGGGGACACTAGAGACCTTTCTGGGTTCAGATCGTACGTCACCGTTTTGGTTTTTGGGAAATTTTCCAAAGCAGTTGACTCAATTGGACAGCGACCACACCATGACCATTATTTTTTTCTTCTTTTCTCTTTTTCTAATTTCTAATACTTACAAAATAACTTTCTGATATCTCCACATATAATAATTTAGTCTTTGGTGTCCTTTTCTTACAACAGGCAATGAATGCGAACCAGAGCAGCATGCTGATTCTTCAAGAAACTTGCATAGATGCTGCCGGATCACTGGTGGTGTATGCTCCGGTGGACATTCCGGCCATGCATGTGGTGATGAATGGCGGTGATTCTGCTTACGTGGCTCTTCTGCCATCAGGGTTTGCCATAGTACCGGATGGGACAGGTGGTCGGGTCGGGTCAGAGACAGACAACAACAGTGGCGGCAGTGGTGGTGGAGCTGGTGGATCTCTGCTTACTGTTGCATTTCAGATCCTTGTGAATAGCTTACCTACCGCCAAGCTTACAGTGGAGTCGGTGGAAACAGTTAATAATCTTATTTCGTGTACTGTTCAAAAGATCAAAGCGGCCCTCCCGTCTGACAACTAATTATATGGAGGGATTTTAGGGTTTTGAGACATGGAAATTATTGGGTATGATGGATAATCAGCTGTCATATGTGATGATTTCCATGGTGGTGTATGGTGGTGGTGGTGGTGGTGGTGGGATGTGAATGATATAATAGTTTTTTTTTTAAGAATTTTTGGGGTGAGTCAAGAACGAACCTTGCTTTGCTGTATGAACAGATGATAAGTCGGTTCTTACAGCAACGTGAAGGTGGTGGTTCGGGTATTGACTCGGTTAACCCGGATGGGTCGGACGGGTTGGGTCTGGTTGGATCCGATTATGGGGCTGTGTTTAAGTGTGATATGGGGTATTTCAGTCTTTTTGCTTTTTTGATGTATGGAAGGCTTACTCATGGGTTTTTGATTTATATGACTAATCTTAATTTGTGGATTAATTACTACTTTCTGTTAGTTATGCTTATATGGAATAAACCCAATATTTGATATATATTTTTCTAAAAATGTAAGTAACTTGATATGAAGTTATGAACTTCCTGTTGGTAATAGATGTTTTATTATTTTGAAGTACACCTCTTTAAAATATTTTAAAGAGGTTTATATTGGTTTTTGTAAAGTATATTTTAATATAATAAAATATCAATTGCTCAAGTATGTTGAAAATTTGATGTATGGCATTGTGTTTTAATACAATAATATTGGATATTAAGGTTCGTTTGTAAATGGAATATTTCTTTTTAAAATAACTTCATACATTTGTTTTTTATTTGAAATGTTTCGTATTAGGGTAATTGTAATAGATCTAGTGTCAGTTTTATGTGCATACAAGAAATACTAATAGTTGGACAGATACGATCATATGATGACATAAAAACTACATGTAATGTAATAATAGTAATATAGTTTCTAATTTTCTTAATGTGATATTATTTGAATATATTTGTGTTTACAATACTATATATTTTTATATATTTTTCATTAATATTTTACATTTTAAAGGTTATACTTTATTTAGAAATTGTAGTTCTTTAAAATACAGTTTCTTGATAAAAGTTAATTTGAAATCATGTCTATAATAAAGATAAACCTAAGCAAAATATTATAATAAAAATAGAGGGTAGATTGTTATTTCTTAAAATTAGCTGATTATATTTTGAATACTATTTGTTAAATATTTTAGGGAAATCTCCAGAAAAATCGTAAAATTTTATTCTAATTTACGAAAAAGTGTCAAACTAAATTTTGTTTACGAAAAAGCATGAATTACTAGTAAAAATGACGATTTGACCATTTTTTTCCGGTTAGCAGTTTTACTACTTACCTGTTTCACTAAAGTCCCATTATTTTACCCTAATTTGCGAATAAGTCCCAAAATAAAATTTACTGATGATTTGACCATTTTTTCTATGTAAACAACATTTACCGGTTTTATTGTTGACCCGGACGCCTAATCATTAAATGAGATGATGAGATGAATATGTTGAGTTATATAATGTTATGTTTAGCATAAAACTTGATATCCTGATGTATTGTGTATTTTTTTTGGAACATAAAATGCATCCAACGAAGACTACAATAATTACATAAATTAACAACAACTGCGTTATTTTTTACGTTTATAAGAAATATCAAATTGTTTATCTAATATTATGTAACCCGATATATCCATCTCATCAAACATCAACTCATTTTCTGCATTTTTTTCTTTGGAACACACATTTTATTGGTTTCATTACTGACGTAGATAAATAGTCATAAATGAGCTGATGAGATGAATATCAAATTTTACAGTAAATGTAGCATTATATAATCCATCGTATCCATCTTATCAACTAATTTAATGACTAGGTGGCTAAGTCATCAGGAAACCGATAAAAATATATGCTACATGGAAAAAATGGTCAAATCATCAGTAAGTTTTATTTTGGGACTTATTCGCAAATTAGGGTAAAATAATGAGACTTTAGTGAAACATGTAAGTAATAAAACCGGTAAACCGGAAAAAAATGGTCAAATCGTGATTTTTATCGGTAATTCATGTTTTTTCGTAAACAAAATTTAGTTTGGAACTTTTCGTAAATTAGGGTAAAATTTTAGGACTTTTCTGGAGATTTCTTAATATTTTATAGTATATCTTGTGTTACATTTTATTGTTTTCTAATATATTCTTCTCAACATCATCTAAGTTTTGCTTAAAAATCCCTCTTTCTATTGTTTTTATTTTTCAACCATTTTAAATGTTTTGGAAAACATAAATAATCATTATGATTTAATTTTTCTTAATTCATACCTTGTATACCTTAAAAAGGTGAATAAAAATTAAAAAACTCAAACTACACTGAAAAACGTTAATGATAATTTAGTGTTTTTAAGCTACGTAAATAAAAAACTGTTATTATTTGTAACAATAATTATATAATTTTATCACTGAATGATTGTTCCTCTAATATTATAGAACCGTAGACCGTAGATGAAAATATTTTCTGGTAAAATAGTTACAAAATTTTTGAATTAGTTATTGGTTAATAAATACATAAACATGTAGATACACACATATACTTGTATTATGTTGCAATACAACATGCCATTTGTTACAAACAAACGCATGGACAAATTAACAACAGTAATCATATACAAGTTATTTTTTTAAATTATTTACTAATAAATATGTAATTGTAATTATAAAACTATTTTGATTAAACTTACAACTAGTCAATTATTTGCTCTTTATCATAGAAAAAAATCAACATCTAATTTGATACGTGAAAATAAAAAATTTTAGTCAACAACTACACTATTACTATATAAGGGAGGAGGGAGTTGTTCCCTCCCAACCCACCGAACCCACTACCACATCAACTTTTGTCTCTTTTTTTCTTCATCTTTCCCAACCCACAACACACGGAAATCCTATCTTTTTTAACCCACTCAACCCACTCAATTGAAAAAATACAAAACAATTAAGGTATAAGTTTTAAAACACATGGTACAAGAGAAAATAAGAAAGAGAAAGTAGAGAGAGATGAGAAGTGGGTTAGTGAAACCAATCAACCCACTCGTTGACGCGGGAGTGGTACCAGCCGATAACTCTATTGCTAATTAAGATTTACATTTGATTGTTTTTGTATGTTTTTTAATTGAGTGGGTTGAGTGAGTTCAAAAAGATATGATTTCCGTGTGTTGTGGGTTCGAAAATATGAAGAAAAACAAAAGAGAAAAAATGATGTGACAGTGGGTTCAGTGGGTTGGGAGGGAATTACTCCCTCCTCCCTTAGTAGTAACATCGAGAAAGATTGTCATCGAAAACGATAACATTCTAAATAAGTTATCAGCATTATCACAAGTAATTAAGTAATGATAAAAATCAGTTGCATTTGTTTGTAAGATAAAATCAGATATATCTTTTAAAATGATTTTTGTTTATTCGGTCATATTTAGAAAAGAAACTATCATTTCAATATTTATTGTCTCTTTTATCAAAATATGTTGTTTGAGAAAAATAGTTATATTTTATTAAATATAACGTCTTTAATATTATATTCTGGCATTTTATCATAAAAACAGTTGCCTTATTCTATCATTTTATGTGTTAATTTCAAATTTAAAAATGGAAATTATTTCATCAATAGAATAACATTTTGAAATAAAAATAAAAAAAAATGAGAAATCAAAGCGGTTTCTACTTTCTATATATGCAATGTAAATTTCGGAAAATATATTATGCTTTTTTTATACTTCTAAAATGAAATATTTTAAGTGAAAATAAAGTAAAATATATCACATCTCTACGTAATTGGCCCTATTCCTTTCATTTAGAATACTTTTTACTATATTTTCTTTTTACGTTTTTAGAAGATCCAAGATTCAATCTTTCTTATTTTAAATATGTATGACGTACTTGGATAAACTGAAAAATAAACTGAAAAGACGTATGACCTTATGCCTACTTGGCAAGTTAGGCATGATAAAAATGAGAATCCGAAAGGTAAAGTTTTTGTCGGTGATTCATATTTTTTTTTTTCGGAAATTTAGTGTTGATAAATGAGTATAAAATGTTTGTCAAAACTTTAGGGAGGCCCTGCAGTCCGTCACTGATCCATCGTAAAAGGAATATAATTATTTAATTAAAAGCCTTAAAATTATTTTTATGAAACAGAAAACAAAATAACTCCTAAATACCACCATGTCTTATTATAGTGAAACATATACGAGACTTAGAAACAATTTCTGATACTGTTAAACCAACAACCCTGTAAAAACCTTAAAATTAATTAGTTCTATACAAATATATCACCAAATAATTTACTGTAGAATATTTATACTAATAAATCAATTATAATAATATTTCTAGTTACACACGTGAGTAGAAAAGCGTTTGAAGTATACACTATTATCTCAACCATAAAAGTTACAGTTATATGCATCTTTCTAAATAAATATTTTACAAGAATGGTTAATATGTGATGAAAAGCATATATAACTTGATACTAAGATAAAAATACATAATATTTTGTAATATAAAATATAAAAATATGACTCTAAATTACGTTAGTATAGGAGTTTTGGGGTGGTCGGGTGGTAAGGGAATGAGAATGGGGGTGGGGGTGGGACTGGGGAGGTGCAATAAATGAGAAATGCAGATGCAAAGAAGGTGTTTGTTGGTCGATAGGCATGTCTTGGCTTCATATATTCAATGCACCCTTAACACGTCCAAAACAATTTTTTCCTTTCTTTCTTCACCTCTTATTTTCTGTTTGTTTAAGAATATACAATTTTTAATTTAATATTTAAATAACAAAGAGCAAGTTTCATAAAGAAACAATCAATTCTTTTTTCTATCCAAGGTAACTAATCTTTTATGCTCCAAAAAGAATATCCAACGTTCAGAAGGTTTTACTAAAAAGTGCATACTTTAAAATTTATATTATTAAGACGACCAACTTTCATTTTATTCTATTTTAATTTGGCTACCTCGAAAAAAGGGACCAAATTTAGTTACATATTTATGCAATTAGCCTTAAAAAAATGTAAACCATACATGTGTTGGTCCTAAGTCACATCAACCCAATGTCATCACATGAAAAGTAAATCCTAGAACACCAAGAGTGTACCCGAGTTTGATATGTGACCTCAATTTTAGAAATCGAGTTTCCAACCGTTGGATTCTCCTTATTACGGATAATTAACCCTAAACACTATTCACATGAAAAAAAAAACAGATTATTAATCAATTGCACATTTGATGAATATACTTAAAAAATAAGATGCTTTGGTGCCTATGCTACAACCTATGAACCAAGTTTCGTTTCTTATTCTTGCATTTGTCCTTGTTAGTATTGGTTTTGTCTTCAACCATGTTCACATGTGCATATGCACTATCATTGGCTTTGTATACTCTTGCACATGAAGAGACTTTTCTAGGCGCAAATGACTGTCCTACTGAACCATTGACACTTCTTCTTGCTTATGCTTCAACATGTTTTTGACGTC